GATCATATTCAAATCATGACTTCATGACAGCTGTTTGTCCCTATTTCTTGAAAATATTCCAAAATGAGAAGAAAATATGACTGTGCCTGTTGATAAACATCTTTCCTTACTCAATTATCACTGAAGACCCGTCTTTGAGTCTAGGAGGTAGGACTGAGAGCTACACCCCTCAATATTCTAATGTCTTTAAGTAAAAAGTGTGGATTGCCACTTCCACTCACATAACATACTTTACATAAACGTTCACCTCAACCTACTCTGTCGGGACTTGGGGAATTATTTTGTCTCTTTTTAAATCAGTGTAATTATGCCATTTTCTGTAGGAGAAAAAGACAGTGCAGGAGAGGAAGACCCTCGATGAGTCAGATTGATTCTGTGACTGGGGTAGTGGGGGTGGGTGTGTCAGAGACAGTAAGATTGGCACAGGACAGAACAGGGTTTAGGGTTGCTATGAGTACATAGGATTGCTATGAGTCCCAGGTGACTGGATGGCACATAACAATGACAACAACAATAGGCAGAAATTAGAATATATTTGTCTTTCTATCTATCCATGCCTCTACCTCTTTGTTTCCAACAGCCATTCGACAGTTAGCTATGTAGCTTTCAATAGTTATCATGAGTTTCCATTACAATCACACTGTAAAACTCTTTAATAAAATACCAATTTTTTATAGTTAAAATATAATTTTCTATTATGATATATTAACATTGCAGTAATGTAGACTTGGACATGTCATAATTTTTACTCTATTTAAATATCTCTTCCAATGGATTATCAAGAATAACAGAACCACTAGCAAGATGTCACCTTTGGTTTACAGCACAACTCCCTACAAACTATCCCAGCAGAAATAAGGAAGAAAATATCTCCTAAAAAATCACTTTTTTTTTCATTTTTGGTATTATTGCTTTAAAATTATGTTATTCCATCGTTTTCTAGAAAAGTTTAGACAATAATTAGCAAGGATAAGTGATCTTATTGTTAATAAGATCATTGGTTAATCTAATAAACTCAAAAGACTAATGCTTTTATTATCTGCTTTAATTATCTTTTTTCCATTCTACTGTCAAATATTTTTTAAAAAGATTATCAAGTCACTGATCTCAAGAACACCGAGTGTCTAATTTCCACATATTTATATTAGTTTGTTAATGGAAAACACACATAACAACTAAACTGGGTCAAAGCAGCTGCAGCCAACATTTCTTTTAATTATTATTTTTCCCCTCAGGGATTCTATGCACTTGCGAAACCTGACACTGGACCAAAGTCAGAGGTCTAGAAATCAACTAACTGGACAGATCCTTTCAATCTTCAATCTATTTTGTGGAAACAAATTCTGACAGTCATTGAATCCTCCTGTTGAAAATTATTTTTAATCAGTCAGATCTACAGAGGTTTTTAACTTTTTTGCATAATTCAACATTTGAGCTTTTCTTATATTTATAGCCCACCAGAAACATTTTTATATAAATATTATCTTGTGAAATTTATAGAAAACATTTGTACTCTCCTAGGCGAATGACCCCAAATTCCTTTGTTTTTCCTAACCTGAAGTATAGCGGAACATGGTGGAGCGAAACTGCACCATGGTGACAGAGTTCATTCTGCTGGGCTTATCAGAGATCCCTGAGCTGAGAATCTTCCTCTTTCTGTTCTTCCTTCTCGTTTATGGCATCACCGTTATAAGCAACTTGGGCATGATCGCTGTGATTCGAAGCAGCTCTCAGCTTCACACCCCCATGTACTTCTTCCTCAGCCACTTATCCTTTGTAGATTTCTGCTATTCCACCATCATTGTACCGAAGATGTTGGACAATATCATAAGCGAAGATAAAACTATTTCTTTCTTAGGCTGTATGGTCCAATTCTATTTCTTTTGTATGTTCGCGGTCACTGAGGTTATTCTTCTGGCTGTAATGGCCTATGACCGCTTCGTGGCCATCTGTAACCCTTTACTGTATATGGTCGTCATGCCCCAGAAGCTCTGTGTCCAACTAGTGTCTGGTTGCTACCTGTGTGGAACGGTATGTTCTCTGATCCATTTGTGTTTAACTCTTGAGATTTCATCCTATCAGTCCAATGTGATCAACCACTTCTTCTGTGACCTGCCACCTCTCTTATCTCTTGCCTGCTCTGATGTTTCTGTGAATGAACTGCTACTCTACATTTTGCCCACCTTCAATGAGCTCAGCACCATTGGGGTCATTCTTGCTTCGTACCTGTTTATTCTCATTACCATCCTGAGGATGCGGTCTGCTGAGGGTAGACGCAAAGCCTTCTCCACATGTGCCTCTCATCTCACAGCCATTGTTGTCTTTCATGGAACAATCCTGTTCATTTACTGCCGGCCCAGCTCTGGTAACAGTACGGGAGACATGGACAAAGTAGCCACGGTGTTCTACACTATAGTGATTCCCATGCTGAACCCTCTGATCTATAGCTTGAGGAACAAGGACGTGAAAGAAGCTCTCAGGAAAATGGTGAGATTTAACTTAATGACAAAGGCTTCATTTTCCTAGCTGGACTCTGGTTTTCAAAAGATCTTTAAGGAAAACTAATTGATCAAAAGTAACAAGCATGATTTTTGTCCATTAATTTTTGAAGAATTATCTTAAAATTTGAATATAGAATATAGAATAAAATATGTTGTTCTTGTGTGCCATTGAGTCTTCTGTGACTTGTAGTGACCCTATGTACAACAGCCCTAAAACTCTATCTTGTTCTTCCATTCTCTTGAGTGTTTTGATTAAGTTTACGAATGAAGTGTTATTGTTAAGCTTCATTTTTGAATTTGTTCTTATAACAGTGATTTTTCCTAAAAAAGTGGAAATAAAGAGACAGGTCCTTCTAATGCTTTAAAAGCAAGTAGTTATTTTTATTATATTTACTTCCTTTTTCTTCCAGGAAATGAATATACTGTTGTATAACTCATAGACTCCAAAAGTCTAGTGGAACTATTGGTTTTTTCCTCTGTGATTCACTTCGTTTTTTTAAAATTGTGATTTGAATGGAAGTTTACAAAGCATAATTTTTCAATCATTCATTACATTTCGTTCTTTAACATTAACTGCAGTACTTACAGTATCTGATTATCTGTTCATTTCATGTCTTTCTATTCACTTGTTGATAAGTATTTATTATCCATTAATTTATTTTCTATTTTCTGCCTGCCTCGTAATCATATTAGTATGGGGTCTGTGTGTCTAAATATTTCTTTCGCTTTCTGTAATAGTGGTCTTATAAAATATTTGTCCTTTTGTGGGTGACTCATTAACTACAACATTTGCTAGACTCATGCATGTCATACAATGTTCCAAGAATTCTTCATTGTTTTTCATTATTCCATAGTTTACCATTCTGTGGCTGTACCACAGTTTCTCTATCCAGTGATTTGTGGATGTATCCTCAATTGTTTCTACGTCTTTGCTATTGCAAATAATGTGACAATAAACATTTTTGTATATCATGCCTTTGACGTCTTTCCCCCCAAGTTTCTGATTTTCTTAAAGTTGTTTTACTGTGTACAAAATTTTTCAAGTTTTTATTCTATTATGGATTCCTATGACTTTTGAACTGAATACCTCAGTGTTGTTTGCTTGAAAGAAAAGAAAATTTGTTCTCTCCAAGTTCCAGTGGTCATAAAACTTAAATTTGTAATTGCTGTTGTTGTTATGTGCCGTTGAGTTACTTGCGACTTATAGCGACCCTATGTACAACAGCCCTAAACCCTATTCTATCCTGTGCCAACCGCACTGCCTCTGACACACCCATCCCAATTACCCCAGTCACTGAATCAATCCACCTCATAGAAGGCCTTCCCCTCCTGCACTGTCCCTCCAACCTCCCAAGCATGTTGTCCCTCTCCAAGGACCTGTCCCTCCTTACAACATGTCCAAAGTATGTCAGACGAAGCCCCAGAATCCTTGCCTCCAAGGAGCAGCCTGCTTTAACCCTCTGTAGGATAAATCTGTTTGTTTTCTTGGCAGTCCATGGTGCGCTCAATACTCTTTTCCAGCACCACAGCTCAAAGGCATCAATTCTTCTTCAATCCTTTCTAGTCATTGTCCAACTCTCTGATGCATAACAAATGATTGCAAAGACCATAGCCTGTATAGGCACACCTTAGTCTCCAGAGTAACACCATTGCTCTTCATTACCCTAGAGAGGTCCCTAACAGACTCCCATTGCAATACGTTTTTTTTATTCCCTGTCTACGAGTGCCAAGAGTGTTGACCATGGAGCCAAGCAGATTAAACTTGTTAACAATCTCAATCTCTTCACAATTAGGAGAAATTTGGAGGGCTTTCTTATAGAAACCTTCATTATTAAACTGGCCTGTGTTAAAGAAGCTTGAATTGGCATTTAAAGTAATTTGCCTGAATCATATATTCCTTTCTACCTACTTCCATCCTCATTGGATACCACATGCTATATAGATCTCATCCCAAAGTCTCTGAGCTTTTAACAAACTCTCCTATCACCATGATATTGTTTTGGTTTTTGTCTAACTTTGCCTTTCATTTATTATTCTGAACTATACTAAATCCTCAAAGCTTAGTTGAAACTACCTCCTTGTCTCTGTTTTGTTCTTAAAACAATGTATAACCTTACGTACACACAATATAAAAGTGTTGTTTGAATAAAGAGAGAGAATCATATACAATAGAGCTATCACCTCCATTCACAGATGGTTCTCTGATGTACTGTATCTCAATTCCTTTCTATCTCTAAATGGATACCTAGATATATTTGCTTGCACCTGATCATTAAGCTATCCCTTTACAGAGAATATTCTAATAGATTTTCATTTATTTTTTATCTGTTTAAATAAATTTAAGGAAGAAATTTAACAGTCCAATTTTCTGTTCAACATTTTGCCACTTTGAAAATCCAAATATCTTTGACATACTTAAAAATATAGAAAAATGTATTAGATGATTTATTTTGCATTTAACTATCTCATGGTTCCAAATACTTAATTACTTTCAAGGATTTTCCCTTTGAGAGTTACATATGAGAATATAAGCCCCTAAGAACTGATGTTTGGTTAGGAAGATGATCTCAACAGACTCAAGGCAAAACATAAAAGAACTGTACATTCTCCTAAGGAACCAAGCCTTCCTGTGGGAGGCAAATATTTTCCTATGAATACAGAAAACTTGTCCCAAATGAATTATGAACAATGGTGCAATGAAATGGATATTTTTTAAGTGGCACACTTGATTTTTTCAACAGAAAATTAACTGAGGCTGACAGCAGTGTAGTAAGAAGGTTGAAAGAACAATATTAATTTGGTAAGTAGTTTTAAAAGAATCATAAATAAATCATAGTTAAATAGAATTCTAGAAGATCGTCTCCTACTACTTCTTTTTCAGAAAGAAATTTTATATCTAGAGTGGAAATATGCCTAGAACAGGAGAAATTGTGAATCTTCATGTTATTTCCAGCTACTACCATAACAATACATTCTTAGGACACTGCAGTCTTGAAACAAAACTCAGACTGAATGTACTCTAGTTGCCATTGAATGGCTTAAGATTCATGGCGGGTCAATGTGTTCATAGTCAAACCATTTCATACCATTTTTAAGGAGGTAGACTTTGGGAAGGAAATTGTCAAAACTGACATCTTTCCAGGCATCTACAGGAAGGCTTGAGGGAAGTTTTGATGTGTGCATATCTTAGCATTTCTCGTAGTAGCCCAATGTCCAGTGTTAACTGTTTAAATAGCCTGGGAACCTAAGGATTCTAAGTTCTCTACTTATTGGAGAACATCTTGACTCACTGATATAGATCTCCAAAGCTTTACTCTGACTTTTTTTGTCATAAAACCATGTAACCTGGGGCTAGTCCACTGAACAATTATTACAGGTTTCCTTTTCACAAAATTGAGAAACAATCAGTCTTAATTATGTTAAAAAGTTGTGAGAGTTAAAGTACACTGAAAATTTTTAAAAAATTAAAATGTTATGATCACATACTAGTCTAGTATTCATATAGCTAGCTAGAAACAATGAAGATTGGAAAAATACATTTTAAGTGATATATACAATCACCATTGCTGTATCTATACATTGGAATCAGGAGTGGCATCCATTTTCACAATAGCTTGTGCCCGGAAATCCTATGAACCTAGAGAAAGGTTAAAAGTTATACAGGAGATGTCCAGGACTTTTTTTCATAGAGTCACTATGAGCCACCTGTTACTCAACAGTATTTAACAACACACAACAACAACACATCATATATTATTTCTCTATACTGAGAGAATAGCTCTTCTGAGAGTTATAATCTGCTTATTTACTCTAAATGTAATACAAAGTTTTATGAAAGTTATACAAATTTAATAAAATCCTTCAATAAATTGGGGAACAGGCATGAACAATTGCCAAAAAGGGAAATTCAATGGAGCACAGTTTTATCCATCAGAAATCCACAAATTTATTAATAGAGATAAGACTAGCTTTTTCCAATCACACAAGTCACAATTGCACAATTTCCCAAATCCACAATTTCCAAAATGTGCCTCTTGACACAGTGACTGCAAAGGTGGGCTTGCATGTGGTGGAGAGTATGAGGATTGTGCAGGATAGGATGATACGTCTCTCTGTAATTCACAAGGTAAGCTGTAATTGACTCCACGGCAACAATTCACAGCAACAATATGGACAAGGGCCTTCTGCATTGCTACTGATTCGCTAACATTTACAGAGCTGTAGAATGGAGACAATAATAAAAAGTAGGAACAACTCAGAGGATGGAAAAATAAGCCATTTTGAATTTTTTTTGCCATATTTCCCTATAAGAAGAGTAGAAATAACTGGATATAACTAAAAGCAACTTTCTTTTTTTAAAAAGTTAATTTTATTATTTTTTGTGTGTGTACTGTCAAATTGGATCTGACGGGTACAGGAGAGTACTTCTCCAGCAGAGTATCTGGTGAATTTGAACTGCTAAAAGTAATTGTCCATATTGAAAAATCATTTGTTGGTATATGCAGATGACACAACCGTCTTTGCTGAAAATGAGGACGACCTGAAGCGCTAGCTACAGAGGGTCAAGGACTGCAGCCTCCAATACAGATTGAGGCTCAATGTCAAGAAGACAAAGATTCTCACCACTGGGCCAATTGGCAGCATCAGGGTGCATGGTGAAGAGATTGAGATTGTTCACAGCTTTAGTTTGCTTGGCTCCATAGTCAATCCTCTCGGCACCAGTAGCCAGGAAATTAAAAGATGTATTGCGATGGGAAAGTCTGCTGTTAGGGACCTCTCCAAAGTAGTGAAGAGCTATGGTGTCTCTCTGGAGACTAAGGTGTG